TTGCTTGTGCTGCTGGAGCCTTCCATGCTGCAAGCTGTATTCGATTACTGTATTTACAAGAAGACTGTGGGTCATGCAAAGCCAAAAGGGCCTACAACAAGACTGGCAATTATAGGGCTGAGGCTGCAGCAGATACAAGTGATGAGGACTGAATGCATCTGCCTTGTGTTAAAAAGGTTGGCAACAGATGTCTCCACACAACATGGAAATATTGCTTGCTTCATTGGCAATGCGCACAAAGCATTGGCCCAAGATCTTGTAACAACATTAGTTCATTAGCGCATCTGTGCTTATTGGAATTGTTTTTGAGCAGTGTGAACTGTGTACTCTGCTTGGCTTATTAGTGAGTAGGCAGCAACACAGGGGGTTGTTTGAGGCACTCCAAAAGCATGCTCTCTCCAAAACAAGGCAGCTGTAAAATGTTTGGGCCATTGCATTGCACCTTTGCCTTGGCCTTGTGAAAGCACCTGTAGAGCCATGGAGCCTGCAACAAAGGCCAAGATGAAAGAGATCATGAACTCTTCTGATGGAGTCAACAAAAAGCTGGAGGCCATTCTGAGCTTGCTCACTCTGGCCAACCTGTGCTATGGCATTGTGCTGAAACCAGCTGAACTCTTGGTTCACCCCCAGAACCGGGGTGGCCAGATGTGCAACCCTTTCGATGTACACAAAAAAGGGATCCACTATTCTACAGTCAGGATTGAAAGTAGACTTGTTGGGGCCTTCTTCAGTGGCCATTGAACTGAGCCAAAACCCAACAAAGAGAGAAGAGCAGCTGAATGCTAACCAGAAAATGATTGATGCACCTGAGGGTATGCTTGGGCACATGACCAAACAAGAAAGGTATCTTACACTGGGCAACTCTCACATGGTCATGTTTTGCAGGGCCATGGAACAGCAGGCCCTAGATCCTGCTGGTGGCGCTCTTCACACTCCACCAGAATTGGAACAGCTCCTCAAACAAGGATGGAGGTGGCAGGTCCTCCACCCATCAGTGGAAGAAAGCTTTCCACAGTTTCCAGCCTTTTGCCAATCATCTTTGAATTCAGTGAACAACAACAGCACCCACACAGCTGAATTGGAAAGTATGCTCCTACTCTCAAACTATGTGCAAAAGGGCTGCACTATGAAACAGGCAGTTGATGCTGTCAAAGCAGCCCAACCCAGTTGTGGCAGCTATTTGGAGGACATTGCACACTTCTGTCAATATTACTTTGGGGGTGAAACTTTTCCTCTCCTGTCCCAACTCAGAGATTTCAGTGTCTTGCCTTATAAGGGTATGTCCATGCAGCTTTCTTTTTCTGGCCAAGAAGAAAAAACAAATATATATATATGTGTATATATACATGCAATTCTTTCATTAGTGCTTGCACTATAGAGCAAGTTGGATTCCATTAGCCTCAGCATGGCTGAATGAATTCCTGGTGGAAAGCATAAGCCATGGGTGAACTGAAACCTTGCTATCCCATTGATGCAAGCTATGCATTACTGTAGCTGCTTGAAACTCCAGCAAGGTAAGCGCTTTGGCCCCACATTGATGATTGGTGAGGAGCTGACCCACCAGCTGGCACATTACAATTTCAAGGTGGAAGGCAATCCATTGATCATGACTCGAATAGCTCTTCTCCATACAATTTTGAGCTCAACCAAAACCACTGATGGCAGCAAAATCATTGTCAAAGCAGACTTTGACAGAATGAAGGGGGCATTAAAAGCCAAGCTTGTGGAAGTTGAAAAGCTCTTGAAGGATGCTTGGGATACTGTGTGCAGTTCTTCAAGCAACAAATGGGCTTGTGTTGCCTTTGGGCGCTTCAATGTGAGAATGATTCTTTTGCTGCTTGGCAAGCAGAAACACAGCAGAGACAATGTGGAGTATGACTCCTTCCATGACTTGGTGGCATTATTTGCAGAAGAGCTAGCTGGCAACTTTGCAAGCAAACCTTCTGCTGCTGCCAGCACCTCTTCATCATCCAAGATTGAGAACCTTCTTGAGGCATCTGCTGCAGATGTTGCTCAAATTCAGCATTCTCACATCAAGCTTGGGTGCAAGCAGCTGGGCTGACAAACATATTTAGTTTCTTTTGTTGGCCAGCATGGGTGCCATTGACATTTTTCATTGGTGTTTGCATGTGGTTGTTTTTGTGCAACTGGTGACTTGTGGCTTAAGGTGCATGCACAAAGAGGAGGGTGCCAAAGTCTTCACTTTGGCCAGCATCAAGGAGAAGCACTGTGTTTTCATACACCAACCACTATTTGAAGGAGCCATTGAAAAGGAAGTAACATTTGATCACTTGAAGGAATGGAAACCAACCAAAAAGGATCCTCCAATTCAATGTCCTGATGCCTCTCTGCCAGCCAAGATGGTTGGTGGGCAAAGCAAATGCATTGAGATGGACATGATCAAGAGCAAGCTGCAAGGCATCATCAATGAGGCATACTTGGACCATTTGCCTGAAAACAAGTTGGTGGTTACTATGAACCCTTGCAATGTGCACACCAAGTCCAAACTCAAGAAGGGTGAGTTGCAACTCTACCCAGTTGGAACAGTTGCATTGGTAAAGCCTGATGAGAAGCCCAAAGGCATTGTGCTGAGTTATATGGGATCCCATTTCAACTTGCACCCATACAAGACTGCAACCACTTTTGAAGATGAGAAACCAGGAAGTGTGGTGCCATACTTTTGGGTATCACAAACGGAAGAGGCTGATGCAATCAACATGGAGATCAAGTGGCAGCATGTAAAAGATGTAAGTCTGCCCATTTTGGTCAACACTGTGCAGTTAAACAAACATGCTGTTTTGCTGAAAGCTGCAAAAACAGAGTTGCCAGATGCTCCAAAGGCCAAGAAGGCCAAAACCAAGGCATGAGCCACAGAAGGTCAAGACCAAAAAGCGCAACAGCTTTGTTTTACAAGGTATAGCCATTAGCCATTTAGCTTTTTGTTGTTTGCTAATTTCCATTCCTTGTTTTTTTCTTTGCTTCACATTAGCCATCCAGGCTTTGCTGGGGTTTGTAGCTTTGTCTCACACTCGCAATGAAAGCTGTGTCATTGTTGTATATGTTCTTTCATATTAGCTATGCTGGCTTGACGGTACCTTTTGTTCAAAGCACATTAGCCTTTTTGGCTGAGCAATCTTCCTATTTTGCAGTCATTAGCCAAAAGGCTCAAGAGTGTCTCATGTTTTGGCCTCGTTAGCTGACTGGCTTTGTCAAAGCTTTGACAATTCTATCCACTCATTAGCTTCAATGCTGAAGCTTGTAGTCAACAGATCTGTTTTGTTGGTGCAAGAGAGTGTGTGAAGAATATGTGTTGTTGATCGCAGGGTGGGCTGCTCAAGCTCCAGGTTAGGAAGAAATGAAAAGACTCCCTGAGTCTGCAGACCCATGGCCCTCAAGGAAGGCAGTGAAGCCCAATGACTGGGATGGCACTTCTTCTGGTGGCAAGTGGATTTGGCAGCCAGAAAGTTCCTCATGGCATGGACACTGGCCTGACTACAAAGGTCAAGAAGCTGCTTGGACTTGGGAAGATGACCAACAGCAAGACCACAAGTCTTGGAGGGGCTGGTGGGATGACAAGAGCTCTTGGAATGGCTCTTGGAATGATGAGAGCTCTTGGTGGGAGCCAGAGTCCAAAGATGAGAAGAACAATGATGATTGGACCTATCAACAAGATCTGCAAAAGCAGCAAAAAGAACAAGAAGCAGGTGCCAACTGGGAGCTCTACATGTCCTCAAAGGCCAGGTGGGATGAAGATGTGAAAGAGTTTGATGAACAACATGGAGGAGCTGTTGAAGAGCCCAGGCCATCGGCATGTCAGCCTCCTGTTATGTACAGGAGAGGTGGACAGAGAAGAGCTTTGCTGAAGCCTTCTATGGAGTTGAAGGCTCTGAGCCAAAGCATAAGGCATCAAGTTCTGATAAAAAACATGAACAGGGAGCCTGGGGCCAGCTGAAGAGAAGATCTATGACCCCAAGAACTACAAGATCACCAAAACTGGCTACCAGAACTATTGTTGTCTCCTCATCAGCCTGTACAGGATGGGTAGGTTTGAAATTTTGGACAGAAGCATCGACAAGTTGCTCAGCAAAGAGAAGTTTAAAATGTCTGTCCTCATGTTGTCCAGCCACATCCAAAAATTTGGAGACACAGGGCCAAGGCGCATGGGCTGGGACTTTGACTAGATGAGAGCTTGATCCCTGTAAAAGAGTTTTACAGTTGGTCGCTGCTGATGAAATTTGAATTTCATTTCATATTAGCTTTTTAGCTTTATGGATTATATAATTGAAGTGAAGCTTACATTAGCCTTTTGGCTTTGATGAGTGATGTAACTAAATTAAATAAAAAAAATAGCCTTTTGGCTTTGAGCTATTCAGTGTCACTTGACATTAGCCTGTTGGCTTTTTGAATTCATTGAATGATGTGTGTAGACCATTAGCGCAAGAGTGCTACACCTGTCAACTTTAGTAAAATATATTAAGTCAGATTGACTCTGTGTAGCATATGGTTTATTAGCAAGATATAGTTCACAAATATAAAACATGCATAAAGAAGTATGCTTAGTATTCAACTTCAATGTCTCTGCAAGATCTTGGCAGTTCACTCAAGCCCTAGGTAAGAGCATCAACAAATATAATTCAAACATATACAATTCAAAACATATTTATAATTAAAAAATTAAAATCTAAATTACAATTCAGATTTCTGAATAGAAATCTGAGAATTTATAGTTCCAATTCAGATTTCTGAATTGAAAATTGAAAATTTACAGTTTCAATTCAGATTTCTGAATTGAAATTTGAATATTAATGATTTCAATTCAGATTTCTGAATTGAAATCTAAAAATTTATAGTTTCAATTCAGATTTCTGAATTCAAATTTTGTATTGTTTTTTTGTAACATAAATATATTTAGCTATCATTATAAATTTGTATATATAGTGTGGTAATTAAAACAACACTTGTTATTGAATTGCCATGGCTCTCTGGAGTGTGGATTGCTTGGTCAAAGAGATTGAGGAATTGTCTTCACTTGCATTGGCAAGGCCAAATGCTCCTATCATTGGCAAGTTTGCCATACAGATTCAAGAGAAAATTGATGGCATTCAAGAGATCACTCCTTCTCAGTTGATTGCAGTCACAGAGGTGATTGCCAAGTCATCTTTAGATGGTACTGTGAAAGATGCACTGCAAAATGCACTGGATGTGAGATCACTAACCACTCACAATTGTGTGTCCAAGCTAGTGAGCAAGTCACAAACTTTACATTGCATTTGGAATTATTTATCACAGGATGAGAATGAGAAGATCATCAAGTCACCTTTGCCAACAATGGTGCAGTTGGTTTGTACTCGACTCAAGAGAATTGGACTCAAACCCATGAAGGAAAAGACCAAGAAGAGCATTGTTGCGTACTTTATTTATTTGCTTCAGTGCAGAGGTGAGCCTGAACCATCATCTCCAGAGATCTACAAACTAGGAAAGTTTTTGTCAGATGCCTTTCACTCAGTGCCAGAAGCAGCTTTAGTGACTGGAGTTGCTATTTACCCAACATCTCCTGCAGATTTGGGTCAAGTCCCTTGGGTGTACATCAATCAATCTTCTTTGCTGTGATATTCTTTGGATTGATAGTTTTGTCATAATTTGTCATGTCAACACTAAGTGCATGTTCATTAGCCAAATTTGCTTTCTGAAAGGCATTCAGCAGTGCAAATTAGCTTCAGGCTTGTTGTGTGCAGTTGTTTTGATCTATTTTAAATTATATGGGCGGGGGTTGCCAGTGGTAACTCTACCAACTAAGGACTTTGTTGACAAAGCATATCCTGATTCTCCACCAGTCAAACCATCGCAAGAGCTGCAATCCTTCATGGCTGCTCAAATCGTACCCACTCCTGTGAGGAATACACATGCATCTTTGGTAGACTCCACTGTGTCCCTCAAGAAGACAAAGAAGAACGCCTTGAATGATCAAACCCTTGAGCATTTGGTCAAACTTTTGGAGAAGGCCAAGCAAATGGATCAGTCTTCTTCCTTTGCAAATGTGCATCCCCATGAAACACAGGCCAAGCAAAGCAGCATTGCTGAATTGGGGAATTTGTCTTTCCTGCCAACACTGAGCAGAAGCAGTTCATCTTTGTCTGTTGTGGCATCCCCACAGAATGCCAGTGAGCAACCTGCAGCAGAGCCTGCAAAAGCAGAAGATGAGAAGCCAAGTGCTGGTCCCAGTGTCCAGCAAGAGCCTCTTGAGGTGGAACCAAAAGCTGGTTCACTGGAAGATTATGAGAAGCAAGCATTTCAGCAGCTGCACTCTAAAATGAAGAGACCTGCAGCTTCCAGGCCACCAGTTCTCAAAAGACCTAGTGCCTGTGTCACTACTGGCAGTGCCACAGCTGGTCAGAGTCATTCTTCATCTGCAGTGGCAGCCTCCAAAGCTGGGAGCAAGAAGCCCAGACTCACTTGTTGGGGCTGCATCAGATGCAGGGGAAATGTGCATGGATGTGATTCCTGTGCCTTTGAGGGCTTTGGTGGAATGAGGTTGAATGGTAGAGAACAGTGGCGCAAGTACATGAAAGGCAAGGGTAAATAGCTATAGGGATGTAAATAGCTTAGCCATGGGAGAAACCTGTGGCAGGGGTCTCATGACTGCGCAAGCAGCATGCTTTGTGCCAAGGGGTTGGAAAAAAGCAAAGATCACCCAGTGCATGTGCTGCGCTGTTGTGTGTATCTTAAATGTGGTAATCCCTGTTGTGTGGCAACACAAGCTATGATTTCTTCCATCATCACATTAGCAATACTTTGCTTATCTAATCTTCACATTGCCCTTTAGCATCCATTAGCAATTACTTGCTGATCTCATGCTCTCATTAGCCTTCCTTTGGCTTTTTGTCTATCACATTAGCTTGTGCAAGCTGCTTTGTCAATTAGCATTTTTTGCTTTGTTTCCATTTGTTTTGGATTGTTGGTATATATATCTCTTGACCATCTGCCTTGTGCCTGTGGCAACACCCAAACACATTACAGGCTGCCTGGCTCACAAGGTACATAGCTTTCCTTTCTGCACAACTGCCTGGAGCCATGATCAATGAATATACCAACTGGGAGAGCAAAGATGTGAGGGTGCAGGTGGAGAAAGCAGGGAGTCAGAGGGTGAGTGTGTTCATGAAGAAGGAGCATGGTGGAGAGGAGCTAAAGTATGACTCTGTGCTGAAACCTGACTGGAAGTGGATGGAGCAGGTCCACCAGGCCCTTTGGGTTGAAATGCTGATGGTAATGGTTTAGTGGCCCAGCCATTAGCATAAATGCTTTTTCACAAGTTCATAGTTTCTTGCTGTATTGATGCACATTAGCCACACTGGCTTCCTGTAGTTACTGTTCATGTTCCCCTCCTGGCAGGAAGCAAATGCTTTTGCAAAGCAACTTGCCTCAGATCATATGGGTCTTCCTCATATTTGGTTTCTTTTGTAAGCCTTTTGTGTTTGCAACCATTTGCAGGCACTGCAGGGAGGATCCACACCTGGCCAAGCTGTTCAAGAGCTACCAAGTGGTCCAAGGCAAAGACTGTGGACACTCAGTTCTTGGTGGAATCATCAGGTCCACAGACATATGTGTGGATCCCAACGCACAGCCTTAACCTGTGTGAAAAAGTTGCGCCTGTTCTGCTGCTTTTCCAGCACAATTATGAAATGAATCTACATGAGCAACACTGGCCATATGGTCATGCTAGTTGGCTTCATTAGCACACTGGCTGTGAGCATTCAGCAAATTGTCATTGGCAACAAATTTGCCACACTGTCTGTGAGTATGTAGCATGTTTTGTAAGTAACACATTAGCCACACTGGCTGTGAGCCTGTAGCAAGTTTGCATTGGCCA